AGTCACATGGATGGGACAGGGCGAGCCTCTCGTGGGCCAGGAGCTGTGGGTGGCAGGGCCCCACGATGCGCTCCTAATCCACAGGCTCTCTGCTGTTGTCCCCCCCGAGGAGTTCAATTTTCCTGGTGGGAGAGCCGGATCTGTGGGTGGCACTCTTCCTGGTGACGTCTAAATAACCATGACAGCAGCCGCTAAGGATGGTGGAGCCGGGCGCGGGAAGAGTTTCTCCTGGGTCTTCAAGGCTCCGGGTCTCTCTCCTCCTCCCCCTCCCTCCCCTCTTTCCCCCTTCTCCTCCCCACCCCTGCCTTCTGCTTCTCACAGTGTGGGGAGCAGCCCCACTGCCGGCCTCTGTCCCCCCGAGCCGGGACGTGAAGTCCAGGGGCCAGAACACCCACCCCAAAGTCCCCTCTGCGTCTAAATATTTACTGCTGTGTCTGCACACAAAAATTAATACACCGATGTTGTGGGCTGATCCCCACTGCCCGCCTGGCCTTTGGAGAGTCAGGCCGCGGCCCGCCCTGGCGGCCACAATGGCAGCGCCCACAATGCAACTCAGAGGCCGGCTGGTCGCGCATACAAAGCACCCGCCCGGCCATTATCATTCTGGAGCCGAAATCCACCCGGCGCGCATCTCCTCGGTCATTCAGCAGCCCCTAATGACATGTCAGTTCCTTGCCCTGCTATTTTCTGTCTAATTAATTCTTTTATTGTGCACCGGATAAAGACAGACAAAGACTTCCCGGCAATAATGATTCATTAAAATGCAGCGCCTTCGCCCGGCCCTGGCCCCGCACCAGCCGGCTGCTCTCCCCTCCCGGTCCGCGCCCCTTAACCCTTTGCAGATCCTGCAGGCCTGGCTACTGGCCGCACCCGGGCATGGGTGCTGGCCCCGCCTCGGCCCTGGGGGAGCAGTCGAGGGGGCTCCTGCAGCTGCCCCAGAAGACTCCGATCTGCCCATTAGGGGGCCTCTTGGAAAGGCCTTGTGAAGGTCTCTCCATCTCTCCCGGCAGCCTCCCAGAAGCCGAGCCCTGGGTTCCAGCCCCAGCCACCTGGGGAAGGCAGGGGTCAGGGAGAGTCGGGGGACTACCACACACAGGACGCTGATGGAGACAGTGCAGCCTGGGCGAGGAGGCAGGGAGGCTGCCCCGGCCTCCACCTGCTGTTGTGCAGCTGAGCCGAGGGAGGCGACAGGTCACTGTGAGGCTGGGGGATGCGAGGGATGAGGAGTGAAGACCCCAGAGGCCCAGAGACAAGTCTGCCAGCAGGATGGGGCAGGGGGTGCCTGTCACATGTGTTAGTGTGCTGGCCTCGGTCATGCCAGGTTAATCCCCAGGGCACCTCGCTGAAGTGCCATCCTGTGGTCACGGGGGGAAACTGAGGCACAGAGAGGTCAACTGGCGGGTGGCAGAGCTTCCAACCACTGGCCCACCTGCCCTGCTGCGGGGAGGCTTGGAGGACACCTTGGTGCAGCAGGAGGGACCCCAGAGGTGGAGGCCGGAGAGATGGCACCCAGGCCCCAGCCTTGGGATGCACACTTTCTGCCCGACTCACTCTTGCTTAATTTTCTTACTGGAAAATGCACCTTATTTTGCAGATGAGCAAAAGGAAGCATCATGCGATTGGAGGCAGGAATAAAACTGCCAATCGTCGCTCTCCGGCATCTGTGCAAAATGCTGTCACAGGAGGGTCCTGATCTCACCGAGTCCCCCCAGCATCCCTGGGGGTTGTTCCCATCTCACAGGTGGAGAAACCGTGGCTCCCAGAGGGAAGCCAGGTGCCCCAAAGCCAGCCAGAAGCAGCAGAAGACAGGATGCCCCTCAGAGCCTGGTTGCCAGGGGTCGCCCGTGTGGGGGGCGGGCAGTGCCAGGCCTCCATCTGCTCTCTGCTCCAGGACTGTCCTTATGCAAGGGTGGGCCCAGCCCCGTGTGCGTCTCCACTTTGCTCCTTGCCTCCCAGACTTTTCTTCTCTGAAGCCTCCTGCAACCCCGGGGAAGCCCCAGGGTCCCCACAGCCCCATCCTGGGAAGACGTCGTCTGTAGATCTGCTCCTCCTGGGCACAGGGGACCCCAGAATCGGGCAGGCCTTGGCCCAGACTGAGATGTGGCAGCAGGAGGCTCTGAGAGACGAAGTCTCTGACAAGGCAGACAGCAGATCACGCTCCTCCCCTCCCCCAACAGCTCTCAGGAATGTCGGGGGTCCCTGGGAGAGGGGACCAGGGTGGGACTCTGTGGCTCCTGGGCATGCCCTGGGCTGGGGGCAGCAGGTGGTCAGGAGGCCACAGCCACCTTGCCTGCAGTGGCCAGCTCCACTGCTACCACATCCTCAGGATGGAGCCAAGGCTGCAGCACAGGCTTCGGGGAACAGGGCAGAGGGCTCTTCCCAACAGGTGAAGCAGGCGCCCCAGACAGGGAGCTGCCTTTGGGGGCAGAGCGTGGCTCGTCTCCGTCCCTCGGGAGTGATTCCTGGCCCCGAGTGCCCGGTGGGGGTGGCCCCGTCTCCCTTGTCCCGGGGTCTACACTGGCCCAGGGTGGAAGGTTTGGCACCACTGGCTCTGCAGCCCTGAGAGTGGGTCCTGGTCACACAGGTTTCTCTTGAAGCCTGGTGGAAGGTGTCTGAGGAAGCCGTCCACACAGGGTGGTGAGGGCTGGTCCAGTGTCCGGTGGACATGTCCACCACCCAGAAACGTTTTCCCCCAGCCCCAATGCCGTGGACAGCAGCCCCTGCTAGCCTGGTCGGCCAGAGACGGGGTCGACAAAGATCCCCCATCCTGGGCTGGCTGGAGGCTCCGGACCAGACGCTGCGGGGGAAAGATTGGGGTCCAGACATCAGGCTGGGCCCCGGGGTCTGTGACAGCCAGCCTGGGTGCTGTCCCCCTAAATGTGGCCTAAAGCTGCAGCAGCCTGGATGGGTCCTAAGTCTGACCCCTGGGACTGGCCTGGTGCATAGGGCTCAGCCTCTCACGTCAGCTGCTCCAAGGACACTAGCCCTCCCGGGGCTGACAACCACACCGGCCATAAACTCACACCAAACCGAAAATCTGCTCCCGAAAGCCGGTGTCGGCCCAGGAAGAGCGTTTGTGTGCGGGACCAGAAGGGGTTTTTCCAGTCCATCGGAGTGGGGCTGGACCCTAAACACCATTTCCCCTTTCTCTTGGACCAGGGCAGTCTGTGCAGCTGAGATCAGAGGCAACACACTCTGTTCTGGGCGAGTAAGTAAAAAATGAGGAACTTTTCCCACCAGCCCATCCCTGGGATGGGCTGGTGCGACGCTCTCAGCAGGAATGGGGCTCCCCACGAGCTTGGGCAAACACCCCTTGGACTTGGGGCTGGGTGGGGCCGAGGCCAGCCTTGTGAATAAAATTGTCAGCTGAGAGCTCGCCGGAAAAACCCTCACCAGTTGGAGGACCAGGGCAGCCCTGGGACCCCTCCCAGTGACCCTAATCCCTTTGTGTCCACCCTTTGCCTCCTGTTCAGAGCATCACCAGAGACCCCACAACTCCCAGGGCCCTTGGCTGTGGGCTCAGCTTCTGGTGCCTGAGAAAGCTCTAACGGGGAAGACACCAACCAGGCCCCGGAGAGGGGAGGTAGTCCCAGCAGGGGCAGCGATGAAGCGCAGGACAGTGGTGGCCGTCCTTCCTCTTCTGAAGCTTCACTAGCTCAGATGTAGGAAGCCCATGGGAGGCTCGCCTGGGACCCACGGGGGCGTTCAGAGCAGGGCAGGCCGCTGGGAGAAGGGCTGGGACCCGGGGAGTTAACACGCAGGAGCCCCGCCAACTCCAAACAAAACTGGCAGCGCCTCGGGCCTCGGGAACCTGGCAAGACCGGAGCGAGTCCCGGAGCAGCACAGGGGCAGCCGTGCCCACTCTGTCAGCAGGCCTGACGCCCGGGGTTTTCCTTGGTTTGGGGTGTCAATGCAGCAGCTCAGAGGGCCATATGGACCTGGACAGCCCTTGGCTGGACTCAGGACGGGCTGGGCCATTTCCACGCAGGCGGCGGGCTGTGAAGGCCATGGGCATCTCTGAGCCTGGCTTTTGGCAGCCCCCTCCGAGACCCCTCCTCGCCTGAGAGGCTTGGCACGCCCCGGACCTCGTAAACCCGGCAGCTCTTCCCAAAGTCTGCTCTTGGCAGGCCCTGGACATGGCTCCCCAGCGTGAGCGAGGGACGAAGCTTGAACTGCAGCCACGCAGGCGGCTGGGCAGGCGAGGGGACGGGGTGGGTCCGCCCCCCTACCCGGGCCACCCCGTTAAAATCACAGAGGCAGCTGCCTTGTGTGTTTGCCTTCACGTGGGGAGCTGGATCCTCCTGTGTCCGGATGCATCTCCAGTCTGCACAGCCTGGAGGCGGGCACCCAGGCACCGTGATGCCCTGCATGGCCGAGGGCGCGTGTACCGGGGAGACCCAGCCCAGAGTGAGGCCCAGCCCAGGGTGAGGCTGTCCCTCGCTTGCTGTCGCTCCCCACAACCGTTTCTCCCTAGAAACACTTTCCGCCAACAGACAACCCTGCCCGGTTCCCGCAGGGCGGCTTTCTTCCAGCTCCCAGTCTGGCTCCGTGCCAGCGCCCGAAAAATGCCGTCAGCCACCCAGGGACAGGCTCTGGGATTTGCTGGGAGGAAACCACAGCCCAGAATCTGGCCCATCTGGACCCATTCTGCCTACTAAGGAGGCCCCCCCGGGGAAGGAAGACTATCGCTGGCTTCCTGGAGGTTTCTAGACCCACGGTGTTCAAATTCAGACACAGCACCTGCGGGTGGGGTGGTCTGGCCGTCCACTGGGACAGGGAGCTGTCTCCACCCTCAGTGTGGGTCTGAGTCTGGCTGGGCCGGGGGCTCCAACTATCCACGTCCTCTGAGGGGGCTTGGGGTGAACCCTCACAGAACCCCACTCCTGTCTTGGTCAAGCCCTTCAAAGAGGGACCCCAAGGCCCTGGAGCCCCACATCCCCCCCCCCCCCCCCCCAGGCCGCCCCTGCTTACGGAAAGCAACACACAAATTGCAGCTCACGTAGATAAAAAGCGTTTTTTTTTTAATTTTATCAAATCGATCTGTACAAAAGTTAGCTTTGCTTGGTCAGAAAGTAGCGAAACACAGCAGGTAAGTGACAGCGAAAGTCCAAACTCGACACCAAAAAATAGATGGCGTAAAAACGGGTTTGCTATAGTTCCCTGCCCCCACCCCCAGAAAGAGATACGCCGAAAAAAAAAAAAAAAAGAAAAAAATTTTTTTTCTTCTAGAAAATGGTAGGAAAAAGTAGAAAAAGTAAAAAGGAGCAACATCTCAGATGTCTTTCAATTGACAAAGTCTTAAAGGCACAAGTTTCCGTGAAGTAGGCGGTTATCTTTGCTCAGCACACAGCGGAAGCAGGCAGGTCAGTCAGGCGTTACTCACCTAAAACTAAGAATCTAAACTCGCTTAGTGGAGAAGGTTTCAGTTTCACAGCTTGGAGGTGGCGCCTGGTTCCTAAGAGCCGGGATTAACGCGTTTTGCAGCCACCGCGTCCTCCCAGGAAGTTCCCGTCTCTACTGCTTGGCACCAGCGGTGGGCAGGGGGGAAATTCAGCGACGCCCACACCCGCTAAAACTCAACTTCATCCGAGGTGCCTGGGTCCCCAACCTGATCAGAGACTATGAGGCAGATCCTTTTCCTCCCTCAGGGGCCCAGCCGCCCCCCCAGGGGGCCTGGAGCTCGGGGACCTCCGCGGCACCCCCAAAATGCCCAGGGCAAAGGCCCTAGGCCCCCTGCCGTCCTCGCCCTCCCCCTCGGTTCCCCGGCTTCCGTCTTGTCTTAAATTCTACTCTCTGCACAAATCAATTCATTAATTACAGATAAAATAATACAGAACATAAATACATTTTAACAGCTTTCAAAACCAAACACGTTTAAGCTTCAAAAATAAAAATTATAAAATAAAAGGAGAGAAGTGTTAGTCACAGCCAAACCTCGCTCAGGAGAACCCTAGCTACAAGGATCACCCGGATCTGATGGGCTGGTCCCCACAGGTGCTCCTGCAGACGCGTGCCCACCAGGCTGCGGGTGCCCCCCTGCCGTGGGGATGTCGTCGTTGGTCCTGGGGTGTCTCAGTGCCAAGGCTGGCCAGGACCTCGGAAGGCAGGCGGCCGGAGACCCCTTGTCCCTTCCCTTCTTTTGTCCTTTGGGCTGTGCCTGCTGCTTTGCGCCCACCGAGGTACAGAACAAGGTGCCGGTGTCTGTGCAGAAGAGGACCCAATGGCCGTCCTTCGTTTCGGAGTTGCCAGTCCCCACAAAGAAAGAGAAGGAAAGGAGGGCTGTGTCCGTTGATGGGAGTCTGGAGATCTGCAGGCAAAGTGGCCTGGGCTACAAAGCCAGCTCCCCGCAGACCCCAGCAGGCACTGACGAGCCGTGCACACCAAGCGCGCCTCTCCTCCGCTCCACGCGCAACTTCCCGAGGGCCTCCGAGGCCCCGGCCGTCTTCGCCAAGATAAAGTCCGCCTCAGCCGACAGCCGACGCGGGCCCCTCCATGCGGCCACAGCGCCCTCAGGGTCTGGTCAGGGTGGTGTACACGGGCTGATCCCAGTTACTAGGGGGGCTGTGGGCAGGCGGCACGGAGAGCCCGCTAAGCAGGGGTGAGGCATAGGGCCGGCGGGACGAGTGGAAGTAGGGGTGCTGGTAGAGGCTGGCCGGGTAGCCGGGGTACGGGCTGTAGTAGCTGGGGGCCTGCAGGTCAGTGTAGTCGCACTGCGAGCTGGTGAAGGAGCTGGCGGCCGCGGCGGGGGCGGCTGTGGTGACACTGGCCTGGGCGCTGTAGGAGCTGTAGTCGGCACGGCCCGGGGAGTCGTGTGACTGGTCACCGTAGTGGCTGGGGCTCAGCTGCTCCGTCTTGATGTGCGGCCGCGGGGGGCCTGCCTCGGTAGGCGACGCCGAGGCTGACGGGGCTCCCTTGTGGGCCCACACGGGGGACGCCTCGATGCCGGAGTGTGAGTAGGAGGTTCCCCCGTAGGAGCTGGCAGCGGTGGGCTGGTCTGCGGGCAGGGCCGAGTGGCCGTTGAGGGGCAGGTACTGGTCAAACTCGTGGACATCGAAGGTGTCCATGTTGCCGATGACCTCGCTGCTCAGCTCCGAGATGTCCACGTTGCTGAAGTCGATGTTCTGGCGCCCGCTGTCCACCAGGCGGCGGCCTTCCAGCTTCAGCTCCTGCTTGCCCCCGTGGTGCAGGTCTGTCTTGGGAGTGGTGGGCGGGGTGGGCGGCCCGTGGGTCTGCCCTGGGGACAGAGCACATTTCAGGGATGAATGCCCCTTCTGTGGGGGGTGGGGTGGGGCTGGCAGGGCCGGCCAGGCTGGCAAGGCGCGCACGGGAGGAAAACCAGCCCCGCTAACTGAAGGTAGGAATCAACGGCTTTTTGTTCCTGTACGTTTCCCAGAAATTCCAGCAAAGCCAGACCCAGACCTCACGCCTCGGCCAAGGAAATTCCGTGAAGCACTGTTCTGGGGGAAGACCTGGGGCCATGAAGGCCCCACGGCGAAGACCACAGTGGGGGAAGGAGACCCCAGCCCGGTGCACACGACGACAGCGCAACCCACACAGAACCTGTTTTCCCCAAGAATGCTGGCTTTAGCCAACTGGACCGAGACTGTTTGGCTGGCCAGGACTCCACTCTGGCCAGTCTCATCCTGAGCTGGGGGCTGACCACCACGCGGGCAGCATGACTGAGTCCTGGGTCAGAACCAGCAAGAAAGCCAGGGGACGCAGAAACACCTCGGGCAGGACAGAAAGCAGCAGGTCACAGGGCAAACCATCATACCCTCGGTGCTCAGAGGGGGCTAAGCAGGCGACCCCCACTGAGTGCGTCAGACACGGCTGCTACCTGGGGTCTGGGGACTTTCTTGGGTACCCAAGGAAGGCCTGATTCTCTCGAGGGTGCCTGCCCCCAACCCCCTTGCTCATCTCAGCCACGGCCAGAACCCCTACTTCTCCCGCTGGGGAGTGTCAGAGGCTGGTGGCCCCGGGAACCCACCTGCGTGGTCGCTGTGGTGGTGCGTGTCGCCGAGGCCCGAGTCGCTCTTGTACACGGCTCCCCCGGGGTGGTGGCCCAGCTCAGTGCCTGAGTCCCCGTCGCCCTGGCTCTTCACGCTCTTCCTCCGGCGCGGCTGGTACTTGTAATCCGGGTGGTCTTTCTTGTGCTGGACCCGCAGCCGCTCGGCCTCCTCCACGAAGGGGCGCTTCTCGCTCTCGCTCAGCAAGCTGTAGAGCAGAGGGCAGAAGCAGGGTGGCGGGGTGCCCAGGTGGCGCTGGCAGGGGACCAGGACGACCCCCACCAGGGAGGCCTGCGTGCATTCCCAGGCCTCGGCGGCCACCAGGCGGGCACTCCCCCCTCGCTGAGGACAGGAGGGCTCAAGCTGGCCGGCCGTTTGCTGAGGTCTGTGCTCATCAGGGTCACAGGAACAAGCCAGAACAAGACCCGAACCTTTCTGTCTCCACTTTTCCCCTCCTCCTTCCCCTCTCGCTGAGCTGTCTGTCCTCTCCCTTTGGGGTTTCCAAGGCAGGCGGGGGAGGAGGGCAGGACAGAGCTGAGAAGACACTGGACAAAGCGAGACTTCCCGGGAACCCGGCGGGACTTCACCGGCAGCTGAGCTTCCCAGACCTCTGGAAACACTGGTGAAACCCAGTGGTCCTCACTGAAGCTCTGAACACACACTAGCCCCTCAGACCCTTCCAGAAGCTCACCGGTAACTGCCTGCGGGACTGGGCTTAGGGGCAGAGAGGTGCGGGCTGCCGCGGTCCACAGTGCCCAGACCAGAGAGAGGCAGGAGCACAGAAGACATTCACGCCAACTCTGAGCACCCACTGACACAGAGAGGAGTGAGATGTGGGGAACCAGCACCCCAAAGCCAAAGCTGTCCATGGTAAACCCAAGCGGAGAGCATTGGTTGGGGTGGGCTGTCCTGAGCAGCAACTCTGTCACTGCTGCTGTCCTACTTTCTGCAGAACCGACCAGCTTCCCCAGGCCCCAGTGTGCACAAACCTTGTCTCTGCTGGACACCACTTCACCCCACTCCCTCCCTGCTGCGGGGTGCAGAGGTGGCAGGGGAGAGGAAGAAGCTGTGGGGATGGTGACATGCACTTCCTCCCCCCACGTTCTGGACTCCCTCGGAAAGGTGGTCGGAGAGTGAGGGGGGAGCCCTTTCCAAGGAAGGGGCACCTTGAGAGAGCAGCACACTGCTGGAGGCTGTGTCCTGCTTCCAGAGAGAAACCACCTTTCCTCGGGGGCAGGGACAGGCCACCAGGATCTGGGGCCACTCACAGCTGGGGTCTCCAACTAGGCATGCCAGCCACTGCCTTCAGCAGGCTGTTCGCGCACTCTGGGAATGTGCTGGGCGGTTGCACACTCCTCCCGCTGCCCTCCACGGGCCCTTCTGAGTACCCCGTGCCTGGTCCCAGCTGGCCAGAGGGGGTTTTTCCACTAGGACTCGCCCTGGGAACAGCCACTGGGAGCAGGGCCGAGGCCGGGCGCGGTGCCACCTCCTCGAGCCCCCGCGCACCCCAGGACCCGCTCCCAGCCCGCGGGGCCCGGGCCGCCGTCCCGCCCTGGCCCGGGGACGTGCACTCACCGCCACAGCTTGCCCAGCGTCTTGCTGAGCTCGGCGTTGTGCAGGTGCGGGTACTGATCGGCCAGCTTGCGGCGCGCCGCCTGCGCCCACACCATGAAGGCGTTCATGGGCCGCTTCACGTGCGGCTTGGCCTTGAGCGCGCCGCCGCCGCCGCCGCGCACCGGCATGGGCACCAGGCTCCAGTCGTAGCCTTTGAGCACCTGCGACACGGCGTCTCGGATGCAGGCCGGGAAGCGCTCGTCCGCCGCTTCGGCCGCCTCGCCCCGGCCACCGCCCCCCGCGCCTGCCGCGCGGCCAAGGCCCTCGGAGCCGGCGGGCGACGGCGGCGCGTCCGAGTCCGAGTCCTCCACGTGCGACATGGAGCTGGCGGTGCCAGACGGGCTGCAGGGCGGCTGGGCGCGGGCCTCGCTCATGTCCAGCATCGGGGCCGCGCGCGGAGGGGCGCGCACCGGGGACGCACACCGGGTTCGAGGCCCGGCTGCGCTGCGGCCGCTCTGGGACCTGAGGTGGCCGCGCGGTGGCCCGACCTGCGTCGTCGTCGCCGCCGCCGCCGCTGCCGCCGCCCGATCCCGCGCTCCAGCCGCCGCCGCCGCCGCCGCCGCCGCCGCCGCCGCCGAGGCTCAGTCCCGGCGGAGGGACCCGCAACAAGTTTCTTTAAGCTGAGGCCGCGAGACCCCGCCCCCTGTCCGGCTCCCCATTGGCCGGCGCGCGCTCCGCTGCCCCCGGGGGCGGAGCTTGGAGCCCCCCGCCCCCTCCCCCCACCTTAAAGAAAGCGCCGCGAATCCCCCGGCGCCCCCTCCTGCCCCGCCCGGCGCGGCACCACGTGGGGCCCGGCGCGCCCGGCAGCCCAGGACCGGAGCCCGGGCTGTGCACGCGCCCTCCCGTTCGCCTCGCCACGCCGTGGGCCCCCCTTCCAGGAGGAGCGGGAAGGAAACAGGGGTCAGAGAAGGGAGCGGTGGGGCGCTCCGGGGCGCCCTGCTCCCTCTGCGGGCGCGTCTCGGCTCCCGTGCGTCCCGTCTCCGGTCCCGTCGCGCAACCGGCTCCGCAAGGAGGCGCGTCCTCAAGGGCCCCCCCAACCAGCCCGCCTTGAGCCCCGACGTCTCGCCCGCAGCCCAGAGGCGCCGGGGTCAACTGCTGCCAGCCTGCGGCCCAGGGGAGGGTCGGCTGGACCGCGTAGCCTCAAAGCCCGGGCTCCGCGCCCGCAGGGCCAGCGCGACATGCAGGAGGCTCCAGCGCGCCCGAGTCTGCGCGCCGCGCGCGTCCAGGTAACTCGCGCCCAGGGGCCGCGGCTGCGAGCTGGGCGATTCCAGGTTCCCCGCCCGGACCGCGCGCGAGCGTAGACAGCGCTGGCGGGGGCGCGGTCCTAGGAGCTGAAGGGGGCGGGAGCGCTGGGCGGGGCCTGAGCTGACCCTCGCTCTTGAGTCCCTGGGGCCGCCCGGCGGATGGCGTGGCCGGACGCGGGGGCCCAGGGCCTTCCGGGCGTGACCCGGGGGGTGGGGGCGCGGAGGCTGTCCAGCGGAGCGGTCCTGGGTGGTCCGGGGGGGCAGGGGCCGCTCGGGGAGCCTGGAGTGGAGGAGGTGGGCGCGCCCGCCAAGGAGGGAAGGGGGCGGGGTGTGCCGCCGTGTGTTGGGGGGCGGCGGGGTCGGAGAGGGGACATTTCCCCGTAGGCAAGCGCCGGGCCGCGGCTCCGAGTCCCCGCCCGTGGCCGCCCCCGCGAGTTGGCCTTGGGCCCGGCGGTCCCCGAGGGCGGCTCAGATTCTTTCGCCAAACCCGCCGGGAGCGACGGACCGGCCGCCCAGAGCTTCGCCATCCCCTCCTTGGGCGGCCGACTCTGAACACGCGCGTCTCGGAGCTTGCGGCCCGCGCGCCCCAAGTGACTCCGGGCAAGGGCGCCCAGCTTCCCGACCGCGCGCCTCCCGCCGAGTCCTGGACGCCTAGGCGAGTGGCCGCCGCAGCCGAAGGAGTGACGCCGTCTCTCTGGCGGCAGAAAGGGCTGGTCTAAATTAGCAGAAAACTCCGAATCGAAAGCCGGCGAGTGGTGCTGAAGCGTCTCCCCGCGCACCTTTCCCGACCCGGGGGCCGCCCCCGCGCCTCTGACCGCGCAGGATGCGCCTCCTGCCCCGACCCCGGCGACGGCCCGCCCCCGCGCGGGGGGCTGCCAATTCCTTAGAGAGGAAGACGCTGCGCACTTAGGCCTTGGAGCCGGGTCCCGTCCGGACCGCCCGTTTGGGGACTAGGCCTTGGCCTCGGTAGCTCCGGGGGCTGTCGGGGGACCTGGAACAGCGGGTGCCGCTGCCTCTACGGGACGCTTCAGGGCCTAAGAGGGAGGCGCCCGGCGCCTGCGATGCCCAGGTCTGCTGCCACCTGCAGGGTGACCAGAAGGCTGCTGTCTTTGTGCGCTGGGCTAACCCGCTTGCCCCAGACAGTGAACCCGACCTTCTGCCTTCCTGGAAAGCACCACGGGGAGCCTCGCTCTTCAAGGCGAACAGTGGCTGGGAGGCCCCACATGATGGTGAGGGCCAGCCGGCCTCCAGGGTGACCTGTCCTCCTCTTATCTCTGCCGGGTCACCTGCCAGGGAACACCCTTCCCTTTGGGGTCCCCGCTCTGCAGTCTCAGGACACTGAGGGAGGATCCAAGTGGGGGTGCCTGCTGAGCTCACTGGCCCAGTAACCCTGCCAGTGAAAGCAGGGTTTAAGAAAAGGGGGCAGAGATGACAGACTGAGGCCCCCACTGCCCTGCCCAGACCCCCTCAGCAGATCCCGCCTGCTCCCCATGCCTCGCGCGCATACTGTCAGGCACCAGGTCTGGGTTTTCACGAGGAACTCTGCTTTGCTGAGGAAAACGAAGCCCAGGTTGCGCTGGGTACGGTGGGCCAGGCAGCCTCTCCCCGCTCCCCAGCGACCCACAGAGGGGCACCTCACAGCTGTGTCCCCGGACACAGGTGACCCCTGGGACCCTTGGAGGGAAAGAGGCCAAGCTGGGGGAGTCTGGGCTAGACCCTGGTGGCACAGTGGTGTGGCACGTGCCGTCCTAGGCCCCACCCTTGGTTCCACCAGCTGCAGTGACCACCCTGAGGGCTGGTGGGGGGGTGTTGGTGGGCAGCCCCTGTTGAATTTGTGCAGGCCACAAGTCCCATGGGATGGTGGGGGGAGGCAGAGCCCCGCCAGAGCGTGGGTGCCCTTCCGGGGAGGCAGCACTTGCAGTGTAGCCCCACAGCCCGGGGTGGCTGCTGGCACGTGGGCTGGTGCCCAGAAGTGCCCCCAAGTCCTCCACTGTCTTGAAGCCCTCCAAAGTTGGCCAGTGCACTATCCAGCCTCATCCTTCATTCATGCTGACCTTGGTTTGTGTCCTCAGCTGCTGGGTTGGTCCTGAGGGGACACCGGGATGTGGCCTTCAGAGGAGGAGGTGGCCACGGTTGGTTTGTGTCTTCATCAGTGTTGACGAAGCACCTGCTTTATGCCAGGGGCTTTCTGGGCAACATGAAATAGAACCACACTGCACAGTCCCTGCCCAGAGGATGCTTGAGTTGGGGTGGGGGGGGCGGTGACAGCACACACACCAAGGGGTCGAGACACTCACCATGGGGTGCAGGAGGGGTCCAGGAAGGCAGGTTTGGGGAGGTGACAGTTAAGCTGAGACCTGAAGCTTCCAATCTCTCAAAGAAGAGAGGACATTCCCTTGGGGGGGGGGATGTGCAAAGGCCCTGAGGCAGCAAAGAGTACAGGGTATTTGAGAACAGAGTGAGGCCACAGTGACTTGAAAGTTGAAGGGCAGCTCTTTGAACCACCTCTCAGTCCACCTCCTGCCTTCCCCCCTCTTCTCTTAGCTCCTCCTTCCTGCCCCCACCTGCCGCTATCCAGATGGCCTCACCTTCATCTAGTGAGTGGGCTTTGAGGTTTCAGGGAGATGATCCCATTGGCCAAGTTTGGTCAGGTACCTGACCCTGGACTGTCAGCCCTGGGGCAGAAGGAAGCTGATGTAAACGAGGTTTCTAGACCAAACCCTGGCAGAGGCTCCAAGAGTACCTGCAAAGAAGGAGATGTGGGCTGGCAGGCACCCCTTTTGTCTACAAGACCTGAGACCTGGCCAGCCTAGGCCTGGAGGGCTCAGGGAAACCGCTTCCAGGCACAAGGACCCCCGATGCGCCCATCCCTTGGCTTGTAGGAACGGCAGCTCAGGAAACCCCTGTGTGTGTGTTTGTGTGTGTGTGTGTGCGCGTGCGTGCGTGCGCACACACTGCAGAGGCTGAGTAGGAAAGGAGGGGCTGCTGAGGGATAAATGCCACCACAGACGAGAACACCCTGCTATCGCTCCTTGCATCGCCCTGCCCAGCCTCCGCCTGGCCCTCGCCTTCCAGTCAGGGAGGCTGAGTCCGTGGTTTGCAGTCTTTAAGAGAAAAGTGTTGAGACAGGCCACGTGGGCCCACGAGCCCCAGGGCCGGCATGTCCCCTGTGCGTCCGCAGCCCTGGCCCGGGCCTCCACAAGCCGGCCTGAGGAGGTCGGCATCACATCCTTGGGACCCCAGCTCAAGCTCAGAGATCAATTGATGCTTTTAGCTACTGGCCGGTCTGCAGAAACCAGATGTCCAGGACGAAGGTGAGGAAGCAGCTCTGTAAAGGCAGCTCGTCCTGCCCCGCTGGGTCCAGAGAGAGAGAGGAGGGGGCCCCACAGGGCACCAGGACTGCAGCGTCCCCTCGTAACAGACTCTCAGAGCTCTGGGCCAGCTCTTTGCTGAAAGCCCCTCCCCAACTTGGTTTGCTAGCTGCTAGGGAACTTCTGGTTTGGGTGGAACGCGGCCCCTTGGTTGGGCTGATGTCCACTCGGGAGCTGGCCATCTCTATTCCTCACCCTTCCACACATGCAGAAGACACTGGAAGATCATGCCCAGATTCCTCCCCTCGGCCCCCAGGACCAGGGTGTTCTGGGCCGGTCTGTGGTGGGCACTGGTTCCGTGCAGCCTCCTCCAATGCTGTGTCTCGGCTTCAAGCTGGCGCATCCTCGCAATCCCACGGGCTCAGGTCAGGGTGGACGTGCTCCCAGCTCTCCCTCTGCACCTTCTCGCCAGCTCTGAAGCCTCCTGATAGATAAAACCCATACTGCCTGGGAGTGACCTCCGACCACCCGGGGTTGGGGACGCCACTGCCGTGGCTGTTCTCCTTTGAAAGGATTCCGGGAGGGGACAATGCTCAACCCGGGGAGCTGAGCCCCCGTGTGCGCTGTCTGCTTGGGGACACGTGCTGCGCAGATGTGTCGGGAGCAGCTGTGGTCTCTGCGCTGGCCTCCACTCAGCCCCTGCTGGTCGCGGTCCCCAAGCATCCGGCTGTGCCCGTCCATCTCTCTCCAGCCCGTGGGCTTGGGGGAGCTGGCTCCAGCAGCAGCCGGCAGGCCTCGGCACATCTCTCTAATGGCCTCGGCACATCTCGGCAGGGGTGCTTCTGCAGCCAAACGCTGTCCTCAGGCAGGATCCTGGGGGTCTCAACACGCAGCCTTTCCTGGGTGGAGGGAGCACCAGGGCGTCCAGACCAGGCACCAGCAGTGTCTTCTGCAGGGGGAAACTGAGTCTGCTGAG